TTTTATTTTTATTATTGTATTATTTCCCTTCTACGTGACTTTACCGAAAGAACCAAGAAGATAAATCCCTGCAGTCACGAAAGCTTTAAATCGTGTTAGAATTAGTTTTTTGTCACCGAAGCTGGTGTAAATCAGTACGTTCACTACTTACTTTGTACCGACTGAAACATTCTGGGAATGTGTGCGAGAAACACGTAAATTTCGTGAGATTTTATCGAATGTAGCCTTAATAGCAATGCTACCAACATGTTCACTCCTTAAAAAACAGATTAGGTACCACAATTTGAGACTGATGCTGCTAGGTATCGTATTGTATTACAGTGAAACTCTTGTTATCCACAATGATGTGGCAGATCATAGTTACCTGCGTATATTTGCATACATTACTCCTGTTATCTGCTTCAGTTATCTGGAAATGAACAAGCATAATATGAATTTGTCATCGGCACAAATGCTTAGATAATATGATTAATTGATGCCTTCCATGAGACCATTGAAGAACGACTTTTCTACAAATAGATTCAGATAATAGGAACACAAGACAAGCAGTACAGACAGTACAAATGAGATAACTGCAGTGACTTCTGTTATTCATGGCAAAACATCAATAGCAGAAAATCAAATTATCCACAGATTAATTAGTGGAAAATAGAAGTATCAGATATTTAGGTTCCAGAATAAATGTAGTGTTTAAAGTCTGGATTATGAAGATCCAAGTGGTCCAATTACATCCATAAACTACATGCCTAAATCCCCACTGAGTTATGTCTATTTCAATTCCAAGAGCCATCCTTAAGTTATGGTGGTATTTCATCAGGTTTTATTTTCATATATCATTGCTATGTATAGATGTGACATAAGTAAAAGTAATTTTCCATTAATGCGTTTCATCTCCATGGGACGTTGGAGTGGTGTTGGTCTTCTTGCAGATGCTCAAGGTTCTATTTTGCATATTTAATCTACATTATTTACCAAATCAACATCAAATCACACTCGTTCGTTTCTTTGGCATAGAAAGCATCACATATTTCATACTGGACAACTTTGAAGTGCGTTTCCCAGTCCTCTATGTACCTGCAAGAAGAATGAAACAAATTTAAATGCACAGGTCATGTACAGAATGACCACATGAGAATGCAGGCTATTCACAGGATTGCTTCATCAGGTGTTTTGTCAAAGAAATTGGCTAACAACAGTAGTTACATATCCAAAAAGAGCATGGCAATACAGGACAGGAATTTTTGCACGGGCTCATCCAGTGATAATCCCTTCACTACAGAGACCTCTCTAACTACAGAAGTAGATGGAAAAAAAAGAATAGGCTGTTCCATTTCTGACATGTATTGTGGTTAATGCAGACTGGATGCCTTGCAATAGGTGTCTTTTGGTGTTTGGACATCTGAACACCTATGTTATTGTCAGAAAGGGTAAAGCCTATTCTTTATTCACACATTATGATACTGACATTAAGGCCACCTTGATGCAGAAGCAGATCCGTGATTTTTTTTTCTTCCCGTGATAAAGTATTTCCAGGGATATAAATTTCGTAAGCACATCCACCAATAATTAATTATTGAATCATTATCAGATGGATGTTGCTGTGCAGTCGTTAGTAACTACACTGTGACCATCACGTATTGTAAGATGTGAGCTGGCCATGAGATGGCAGTACAGCAAAAGATCCGTGAATTCATAAATGAAAAAAATTGTCGAACACATTCCTGCGGAGGGAGCTGGTAGGAACGTTGGGTTGCTCGGTCAATGGCCAGGGTCAACGGCGGCGTGGTGTATTCCGCAAATATTCCCGACTGTGAGGGCGGGCACAAGCCGGCGTGAGTAGGTTAAACATTGAGTTTTATAAGGGCACCACGGGGTGACCAGCCCCTCCCCACCCAGCCCCACCCCTCCCACCCCCACCCAGCCCCACCCTCCCCACCCTGCCCCACCCTCCCCACCCAGCCCCTCCCCACCCAGCCCCTCCCCACCCTCCCCTCCCCACCCAGCCCCTCCCCACCCTCCCCTCCCCACCCAGCCCCTCCCTCCCCACCCAGCCCTTCCCTGCACGACGGACAATAATCCGCTGTGGGCTGGTGTAACCAGGAAGTTCCTACCAGTATTATTTTTTCATGAATCCATGCAGCGTTATCCAGGTATTACGGTTTCTACCCTCACACCACTTAACATGCAAATTAACATCCCAACGCAGCACCCTCTTTAAAAAAAAGTCTTGAGACTCAATATGGCTTTCCTGGGTAGTTAAATTGCATATTTTTTGTTTATATTAATTTACATCAAGGTCATCCCTCCCGAAACACAGTGCTATCATTGATTAGAATGTTTTACTCACAATCAGAGATAATAGGCTGAAAATTACACCAAGGTTAGTAGAATTTGGTTCGACTTTGGGGGAATTTAAAACAGTGGTTGAGACTTGCAGCTATAATGGAGACCCACAGCCCACCAAAGGGAGATGAGTTAATGGCCTAGTGCTGTGCCAATGCCCGGTATTCTTCACTTTTTGGAGATCGTATGACGATAGCTTGTCCAGCTTTGTTTTTTCCTGGCCACACTGTGCTTCATTTAATGTCAGTAAAGGTGCTCGTTCTGATTTGTATCAGTAACGGCAAGAAACCAGCACAATTGAAACATTGCGGTTATTTGTAATGACGGTTGTAGGCAGGAAATACAACGAAAACACGACAACGTGAGAAAGAATAATAAGAAGAACAGCAACCTTAATCGTTTCCTCATATGTCATGTGCATGAAGTTGGGAGCATCCAGTTTACACCAGCCCTGCACATGGTCAAACCGGGAGCCCATAAACACCGAGTTCCACATAAATCAACACAAATAGAACATAAAACCCGTGCTGTGTGATTACTAGTAGATGGCACAAGTCCATTTCGACGAGAAATGTGGTCTATTTGTCATGAAAAAAAAAAACAGTTTTTCAGAGACCATATCATGCAAACTGTTTTAATTTCTGAGATATAAATCATCGATTGCATTGTACGTGCACAATTGAGTAACAAAAACTGGTATGTTATAATTTAAAGTAAAAGGGGCTCTCCAGTGTTGTACAAGCTCAAATAATAACGTACAAACTCTTTCTTCAATAGCGCTGCATTACAAGGACAAAATAAACAATTGGCGACGTTTCGGGCAATCACCCTTCTTCATAGTACACGGAGCCAGAGAGATAGAGTAAATAATAGTTGCAGACTGAACTTCACACCATGGTGCACGATGAGAATCTCATTGTACAAATGTTTCCTGCTGAACAGTTATTTTTTTTATTTAAATATGGGATGAAAAAGAAGAAAGCGGAGCCAAAGGAATCCCCCCCCCCACCCCCGCATCAAATAACACCAGGGCTGGAATTCATTCCTCCCGCCACCCTCCACCATCACAACCGCAATTTGGCGGGGGGGGGGGGGGGGAACCCCCCACGGTAAGTTTTACCCACAGGTATGGATTTTACTGGGTGTTAATGGTGCTTTTATATCTCTCGTTAAGCTCGCAGTAGATGCATCGAATCACGTGTGAGAATGTTTGTTGGTAATTTATAGTCTAAATACTGTACTGTAGCGTCTATAACGGCAGCTGCATTCACCACAATGTTAAACAATCGGTTCTGAAATTGATGGAAATCGTTGCAGCTGCATGCACCGCAGAATCGATGGAATTTGGTGTTACCAGTGTGGGTGGGTGCCAGCTTCTGACCAATTAGAGTACACTACACACCCATATATACAGCACGAATTGTTTTATGAGTCTGCAGTGGACTACGCACTATTTTCTCTGCACCAACACAGGTTTGTATGTTGAACTTCTTTCGCACCGTACGCAGCCAACCGTGCTAATTGGAGGTACAATAGAGCGCACACAGATACATATAACATGGCACATATATATGCATATATAACACATATATAAATATATCACTCATGCATATACTGTATAAATAACTGCATATATAACACACATTCACATAGCACGCACGTGTACCACGCACGCATGCAACACACAGAACACAGGTACATAGACACATATCGCGCACATAGAACACACATATAGCACACACACAACACACACACAAAGAAAAACAATACGTGGCAATTCAGAGGAACTTGCTGCGCTGTACCAGCAGTGCGTATGTGCATGCTCGCTCGAGTTGCCACGACGTGGCGATATTACGCGATATCGTAGGATACGAAATCCACGATAATCACATTGTCCGTTTCGCTGAATATCTATTGCAGCGTACCTATTATTGCTCGTGTTTATTGTTATTTTATTTCCTGATAAAATATGTATTATATAGCAACTAAATACAGTTATAAAAGGGTATGCATATCTCAGGCTTATGTTGAGCGGAGAAACGTTGAGTGATATGTTTGCGCTGGCAGTACAGAAAAGCATTGCTAACAACAATTATGTGGAACAAAAAAAAGATGTTGCGATAAGCATGGGGCGTCACGGTGGCGAGATATAAACTTCCTCTCCATAGTATACAGGACGTCGTGGGTTCAATCCTGACCATGACCACTGCTGTATATTTGGAGTCTGCGTGTTCTCTCTTTCTCCCCGTGGTGGCGTTGATTTTTCTCCAGGTCCTCCAAGTTTTTTTCCTCCACATTTAGAAAACGTGCCTTTTGAGTCTTTGGCTGCTATAAATGTCCACCACATGATGATAAGACACTTCGTTTCAGCTACCATGTGTGGCCATGGTCACTTTTGAAATAGTTATATAGCTCAGTGGGCCTTACCTGATTTAAAAAAAAATGTTATCGTAAACATATTGTATCAGTTGTCTCAATTCTTACTGGCATTGTTCTTTGGCCCTGGCGTAAAGCCCAACTGGAACTCGTATGGTTTTTGTCTGTTGCGGTACAAAGCTCCTCGAAAATATTACCTGTTCCAGCAGTTCCTGGTTCGTTTTGGGTCTCGTCAGTCTCTGCGTGCGTCGAATTCGCCTCTCCGTCTATTTACGTGACAGCAGCATCAGCAGCAGCAGCTATGGCAAACGCGGCAGTGGAAAACGACCTCACTTGCTCCATCTGCCTCGACCTCTTCGACTGCCCGACCACGCTGAGCTGTGGACACTCGTTCTGCCTCCAGTGCCTGGAGAACGCGTGTAAATCGGCGGAGCTCTTCACCTGCCCACAGTGCAGAGCTCCGTACGTGCAGTTGCCCCACCTGAGCAAGAATGTGGCGCTAGCCAGCCTGGTGGAGACATTGAGTGGCCAGGCTGCAGCGGCACTGGCGAACGGTGATGATAAGGTGACGTTAACCAGCTGGTCACTACTAGGGGTGTTGCAGCGTGGCATCAAGTCCATCGCTTCATACAAACTCTCAGCATTTGCGATATATGCATCGAATCGCGTGTGTAAGCATCGATGTTTTATATATTTATGCCTCCAATCAAATCACGTAAGAATGCAACGGACCTCATTAGAACTCAGACGCTAAGCAGTGATGAGCCTGGTAAGTCGTTGGTTCGGCGACTAGCTGTGGATACCTGGCGCTGGAGATGTTTGGCTGCGAGGTGATAATAGCACCGCTGCCATGAGATATACTACTGCATGGTATTTGCATTTGAAGTTGAGTCTGTGGAATGAATCTGGCTTTTTTTCTTGCGTGGGAATATGTCCCCTCTACTGTGTGGGTAAGAAATATGAAGATCACTTCAAGGCATTTCAGAAGTACTTCTGAAATGTGCCGCCCGTGGGGGTCTCTGCAAGAGTTCCTAATAGACTCGTGACACGATGCCGGTAGCATTGTGGGAGACAAAAAAGGCAACTAGCCGAGGTTTTCAGGGGTTGTTTGCAAAATGCATCCGTTGAGCAATGTCTGATTTTGTTGTTCAAATCCACAGAGCCCGAGTGTCGTTGACTCAGGCACGATCGAATCACTCGGAAAGCATGGAAAGTGCAGGTGCTGTATACCTCATTTCCACAGGCATATTACTGGGCCAAACCAGCCCAAAGCAGTACTGGCGTGGCTGACACATAGCACTGGGGCATGCGCCTTCCGTGACCTACACTCAATAAGCGATGCGCCATGACCCCGGAGCCTGAGTGTTCAATGCACTATGCTACAAACCCGATGTTGTATTCCCTGCAATGGTTACAACAAGTGGTGGTATCAGTATCTACCCTGTCTGAACCTCCGCGAGGTCAGCCCAACCTTAAATCAGTTCCTGGTGTAGTGTAAAAAGGTGTAGTGTAAAAAAACAATAAACATTTGGGGAGATAAGATGCAGCTGTGGGTGGTGCAGGCCACCCCACCCACTCATGCGCTGTCCTGGCCTTGATAGGTGACCAGTATTTTGTGTACGGTGTGTGTATACGTGGAGTAGTGGTCAGCACACTGCAATGACCCCGAGATTCGATTTCCGGCCACCGTCAGCATCGGTGGCAAATATCTGAACTGACCCTGATCCTCCACTATGTCGACTCAGCCTTAAGCGCAGTATGTAAGCGTCAGCACTGGGGAGGGCAAGCTGGCTGGGCGTGACGCTGGCCACAGCCTCACCTTGTGCAAAATTCCGGCCTTCGCGGGTTCTCGCTTAATAAAAACAAATTCCAACAGCCTGTATGGCTGGAGCGGTATCCACGTGCTTTGTACATGTCTCTAACCGTTATGAATGCATCACGTGGGATTTGAATGAGCAGTGGACTGATTAAAGCGTCCATGAATTCATTCAGGAGGTGCGAGAAGCACGGAAAGCCCGTCCAGATGTTTTGCACTCTGGACCACTGCGCTTATCTGTACAGCCTGCACCGTGGAGGGAGAGCACAGAAGCCACAACGTCATCACGTTGGAACGGGAGCAAGAGGCGAGAAAGGTGCCTTTTTGTGTGGTTTTGGTCTCTTCACAAATTGCATTCCAATTGCGATTCCTCCGTCATGGCATGAGACGACTCTTGCAGTGCAGTGCATCACCTTGTGTTCGAGAAAGGGCCATGAATTAGTTTTTAAGGGCCATGAATTGTATTTGTTTATGCACACACCAGGGGATGTTGCACTTTCCTACATGCATTGCTACGGAGAAATGTTCATTGCACAACAGTCAGATTGATACTCTTAGGTTTTTTCTGTAAAGTCACGGAGGAAAAATGTATATAAATAATAAAATAATAATAAATGAGTTATTTCATTCATTATTATTTTTATTATTATTATTCTTTTTTACCTACGTGACTTTACCGAAAAAACCTAAGAATAAGAAAGCGTAGTGTTATCCACCTCCGGTGTGGTGAGTGATTGAGTAGGAATGTGTAAGTCGGTGTGTTGGCGTGACCTGCAGTGTTGAACACCGCATGACTGATATGAAACATACTCTTTGGTTCTTTTGGTAAAGTCACGTACTGTAGGTAAAAATTTTTAATGAAACGAATTTTTTTCACGACGTTTCGATCGCAACACAAGCGGTCGTCCTCAAGCGGAAAAACATAATCCAGCAGTGGAACTGCTGATTCAGCAGTTGTTCAAGGAGCGCTGGTTCAGCATTTCAACTGCTGGATCATTTTTTTTCTGCCTGAGGACGACTGCTTGTGTTGCGATCGAAACGTCGTGATATATTATTTTTTGTATGAATCCTTGCAGTCACGAAAGCTTCAAATCTAGAGTCAGATTGATATTTTTTATTCTCAAATCTGGAATTTTGCTAAACTAAGCGGACATTTTTCTTGTATGTAATGGATTTGTTTATGTGCAGTCATTGTGACTGGGCTGAGACCGTCAACTTGTTACATGTGGGAACTCAAATTAAATCGCAATGATCATCTGTTGGTTTCCCTTATGGTACCTAAAGTTTTTATACACAGCCAACAGAAGATGAGTTTAATGCACTCAAGGCTGCTTCATTGCCAAGGTAACAATCGGCATCATGTAGTGCATCTCACATACGCAAATTTTAACGGTGAATGACCATTCGAACATAGAAGAAATTACACCTTTAAAAACATGCATTGAAATAAAAATTCCATTTATTTACCCATAAAAGAACCACGGAGTCTCAATTTTCGTTTCACATTTTCTGGAGGGTCCCATATTGGGATGTTGAGGGGAAACTGGAATACCACACAAAAATGGTTGTTGTTCTGATATACATTTTCACGATAATGGCACAATAAAAATGTTATATGACTATTACTGTGACTGCATTTAGCATATTTATTGTATCATTGTGCCTTAATGCACTAACAGTATGAAAAAAGTAGTTTTTACAGTTCTTCAACTGCAGTTCACTCAATGCACTGCCATCCCTACCTTGTATTCATTGATGACTGCCTTAACAGGAGTCACTGAAAGAGAATATAACCTCCGTGATGAAGAAGGAGAAAGAGGCAGCATCTCAACTTTACGCGTTGAGAGAAACCTACAGGGATGTCCAGGTACCGTGTTGTAGGCTGAGCTCTTTTTGAGTGAGATGATAGCTGTGACTTCGAAAATAAAACGTACGGTAAGATATATCCCAAACGTTACTCTGCATATGGGTGTACCACAAACATTTTCCAAAACACTAACACCCTCAATACCACCACTACTCTCAAAACTACCATAATTGTTAATATTGATCAACTGTAGTTATTATCAGTAGCCACATTTGCTGCATGTGATTACATTTCCCCTTAGGGATGTGTGGTAACCTCCAATGAGTGGGCCTGAATTGATATGTAAATGATTTTTTTTATCCAAACAAACCCTAAAATTCACCATCTACCAGAGCCAGTGAATTGTATAAGGTGGCGGATGGTATCAGCTGGTCACAATCACTTTAGCCATTGATATCATGTTCAAATTTCAAGGTACGTGCTTTGCGTAGATGTAACGATTCATCCCGCACTTCCCCATACCCTTCCTACCCAAGTGAGTTAATGAAATGTTGTGATGCAGGGTCGCGATTTTATTCGATAATCTATAAATGATTAAATATTATGGTGAATGTAGTGGCCTGAAGCAGCTGCAGGGTCACACAAAACCATTAAATACAACATAAGCAACTTGAAAACACTGATTCTTATAAAACACCATACAATGCATGTATCGATAGGTTAAGAAGAAATGATAATTGATTGTTACCTCGTTAGACCCATATTGCTTAGGCATATTTTGTGAGTTGTGTAAAAAAAATAAAAAACTTGCTTTCTTACGTGCAGAGACAAATGTGGGAATGAGGCATTATTGAATGTATTACTGCGAGTTAGGACGAGTAGATTTGCTCCAATCTTACTTTTAGAACTTTCGTGACTGCAGGAATTATTATTTGGTTCTTTCGGTTAAGTCACGTCTAAAGATAAAATAATAAATTAAATTAAATAATAGAATACGACGTTTCGATTGCAACACAAGCAATCATCATCAGGTATAATGAAATAGCGACATAAAATCTAACCAGAAAAACTATAGACTGCTAATATGTCTGTCTATAGTTTTCTGGTTAGATTTTATGTCACTATTTCATTATACCTGATGATTGCTTGTGTTGCAATCGAAACGTCGTATTCTATCATTTAATTTAATTTATTATTTTATCTTTAGACGTGACTTAACCGAAAGAACCAAATAATAAAGATTTGCTCCACTTTCTTTATCCAGGAATCCACAAAAAATAACAAGGCTAAGATCTCGAGTAAGTACACGTGGCAAAGAAAACTTTTGGACGAGGAAGAAAGGGCAGCCCTTCAGCAACTGGAAGACAACGGCGCATTGCTACTCTCCAAAATTCAAAACAACATCAATTCCTTCGAGAGAGAGCTCCAAGCACTCCAACAGTCCAAACAGAAGCTGAAGGAGCTGTTGTTTGTGAAGGACCCACTCGACTTCTTGCAGGTGAAACATACAATTGTGCTTACACTTTCCAAAATAATCAAATGGATTAGGGTCATTCTGCAATTCGTGAATACAAAAATTTTGTACCAATGTGTTGTCTGTAAAATGCTTAGTGGCTGAAGTGGATTTCAATGATTCACTTACATATGAACTGCAAGTGATTGTTTTCTTCCATGCATTATTTGATGCATGTGTAGGACTCGTACTGACGTGACAGCTTCTTTGTCTTGGTTCTTTATTAACGCGTGTAGTTCACATCTCCTCCGTCGGCATCACACAATGTCCCTCCATTCTCTACAATGCACAACTCCCCATGAACATCACTCAATGTCCCTCCGTTCGCTCGCTGGCTTCGCTCACTCTCCCTCTGTTCCTCTCCTCCACCGACCTCCCTCTCTGCTCTCTCTCCAGCTCGGTCGCTCTTTGTTCTCCCTGCCGTCTCACTCCGTCGTAGCTTCTCCACAAAGGTCCGTTACTCCGCTGCTATCCTATACTGTATTCTCTTTATCCGCTGCTACCATACTCGGTCTTCTCTTTGTCCACTGCTACCGTACACTATCTCCCTCTGTCCACTGCTACCTTATACTATACTCTCTTGTCTACTGCTACCGTATACTATACTCTCTTGTCTGCTGCTCCGTCTCTCCCTCCATCTGTCTCTTGTCCCAGGCACCAACCAACTCCCGTTTCTCCCCACGCTCTTTGCCTTTATCCCCGAACCAATTTGCCCCAATCAATTAGATCATCCTCCGCTTCTCCATTCGCCCCCAGCCCCCAGCCTCACTTGGTGTTGTTATTGCAGTCATCGAGGCACCAATTCCCGACACCCATCCCTCGTCCAATCACCTGGCCTGCGTCCTCGATTACCCCCGAACACCTGCAGGCCTTCCTTAATTACCTTACCACCTTAATTGGCACAATCACAACAGTATGGCGCCCCGCTCCCTGTGTCCCCGTTTGCCCTCACTGTCCGCCGCGTGTCCGTATCACAACCCAACGCGTGACGCGTGTTTTCTCAAGTCCTTCCTACACATGTATTGTGAGCCTAAAATTCAATTTGAATGAATCGATGAATCCATGCAAATATAATATTTCTAAAGATAGGTACTGGAATGTTAATCATACAATATGATTATGTATTGTTTATTTTTACATGTACAATAATAACTAAATCTGATTGTTTGATTTTCTTAGAACTCATTCCACAATGAAATTAGGTAAGTGGCTGTATCATGGTATCGCCATTTTGTAAGTGTATATGTTATATGCAGTACTGTAATTGTAGACAGCCAGTCAGTGACATATATACATTCGAATTATGTTATGGAAGTATATAAAGCTCACATTTTGACACATTTCAATGAGAACTACAAAAATATGAGAGCGAAAATGGTTTGAGTCCTCAAGTTTTTTTCTTTCCATTTTCAACATAGACCTACAAATGTTGTGCCTGGAGGTTTTGAAAAGTGCTATATCCAAATAATGTGAATTATATTTTTAATAAACACAGTTTTTGGTGCTTTTTGAAATGGTGATGCTAGAGCCAAGAAAAATTACAAAGGTCACTACGAAATACTTAAGTTAAATAAATAACAAATATTCAGACCTTACCTCTTGCAGGGATCATACACTGCACCCACAAATTCATTCACCCATCAATACCAAGCTCTTGTGCCTTCAGTAATTCGCCAATTCCTTAGCCAAAGTACACCCTTGTACAGTATTAACCAATGCAATGCATGAATGCACAAGACGATACATGCAGAAATACACCAGCCAAAACCATAGCCCCAATAGCATTACCTTAAAATCTAACCTGCGTATTAGTCCAGACACCTACCTATGCAATTTGTCCATAAATCTGGTTGACTATCACATACACCAGAGGAGATTTTTATTCCAACTTTTACTGTAGAAAATGCCCAAACATGTACTCCATTGCCCTCTATGCAAGCTCACGTGTACGCTAACGCATGCTCCCACCCAAATGCCATTGCCAACAGACGATTCGACACAGCCTACACTTTCATACCATATAATAATGCAACCGACCAGTCCAGACAATGTCCAGTAAAAACCTCTTACATTCTACCTCGTGAAATTGTTATTGCATATGGCAACAAGCCGCACATAAAGGAAGACCAACAGAAATCACTCCCCAAACATTCCTTTATGAGATATATACTTGCACACACAAACCACACCTTTGCAAGCCTGCAGTCTACAGAGTAACCTTCAGCAACCAAGCGTAGAGAGTCCACATACCTTTGAAAAATAAGTAAATAAAACCACCTCTGTTCAGTTTTTCACAGGAAAAATCCGTTTCTGGCCTTATTGGCCTTCAAGATTAAAGTTTACAGGGTTGCACTAACAGGGCACCGTTATTTAGAAGGAGTGCCCTTATCAAAACAGCTGGTATACCAACAGTATTTTTCAGCAAGCCTGCCTACTGGTGAGAACCAAAAGGTCGAAACAAACGGTACCGTAAAACACATTATTATGCAGTGAAACAGACTGTAAAATTGACTGGTATGTTATTTTATGTTCTAGTTTTATCATCCAGCTGAAATATTTGTTTCTCATTGCACTCCTATTTCAGAATTTACATTGACCAAAAGAGTGAGACCCTTCTCCCTCCAGCACCGATGCAGCAAGACAACAGCAAGTTCCGCTCACTGGAAGACGTAATTAACAAAAGACTTAGGTCTTTCCTGACCACTGGGTGTAAGTGACGCACTAAGTTATCGACTATGTAAAATGAGATGTGGGTACTTTTCTTCATTACATAATTGTGCTTTTGGCATCATGTCATGAGACAAATACATTTTAATTTCTCATTCTGCAGCGAGCGGTACATCACCCTGTCAGAAAATGCTATTAGAGGTTAGTTTAACAGGCCTGTTCATTAACACAAGTGGCACACCTTACGTGACCTGTAAGAGTGTGCATCGCATAGAAAACAATAATCCACATTCAGTGGGTTGAAAAAATGTGAGTCTTTTTGTGCAGTCAATTGTGATCAGTCTATGGCTAACAACTCACTAGACCTGAGATCCTGGTTTCATCACAGATGGCTGCCCATGCTGTTTCAACCAGCATCTCAGTAGTGCCAGCTCACAGCTCTAACTCTTGACCTATCTGCCCAACTCCCAATGAGCATTGTTTAAGTGCAGTTGGACTAAGTGGGTATGGCCATGCAGTTGCGATAAAATTGGGCATCTGAAGCATATGATTAAGCAATGATCAGATAGACTTGTAACGATTCCACAACCATGTGTTGCGGTGAATAGTCCCGATTCAGAGTCGCGATTTGATTTAAGAATCAGTTCTTTGTTTAACACAGTGGTGCAGTGTGGCATTTCCAGTGGCTGTAGGTGTCACTTAAATGCCTTTGATGTCTTGAGTTGTAATGCAATTATACAGTACCGAGAGCAAACTACGTCTGCCAGATTAATAGACATACACAAAGTGGAAACATGCGTATGCAGGACTGGCTTCATGACACTTTTGTAGTCATCTTGCTCCCGTGTTGTAAGCGTTTTAGCCTGTGCTCGGCAAGTATGTGTGATCACTTAAACCTCCAGTGGCTGGGTAGCTCAGAGGTCGGCGTACTGAGCATGCACCACAGAGCTGAGTTCAAATCTAGGTTTCAGCCACTCATAATTAAAATGGGTTCTCCCTGGTGTGTTGAGCTGATGATGTCCGCTTGGTTACCAATAAATACACCAATAATCCATCAACTTTCATTCGGTTTTTCATTTCCCTTTGGAAATTTCAGCTCCGTGACTTAAAAAATTGATGTTATAGATATATGACGAACACTCCTTGCCAGGCTAGTTCCCTGCGTTTGAATAATGATGTCTACTAATACAATTGGGAATAAAAAGCGAACAAAAACTAATTAGCTTGCAACTATCGTTTGCAGATGGACGCGGTCCGACACTGAACTCGAGCACTGCCCACTCGCACCTCAAGCTCTCGGCTGACCTCCGCACGGCTAAGCGGGTGATAGATTCCCAACGCTATGCCGCGCACCCCAGTCGCTTCGATTGCTGGTTGCAGGTGCTGTGCTCGCAGGCGTTCTCTTCTGGGCGACACTACTGGGAGGTGGATGTTGGAGGCTCAGATTTTTTCTTCGTCGGTGTTGCGTATGAAACGATCCCTCGCAAGGGCCACTGGCAGGATAATGCACTGGGAGGCTCAAAGAGCTCTTGGGTTGTGGGGAGAAGGGGAGTGAATTACATTGCCGCGCACGGGGACATTTTCTATAAGATAGCGGTCCGCAGTCATCTGAAGAGGATCGGGGTTTACCTGGACTGGGAGTCGGGGCTGCTATCATTTTACAACACAGACACCATGGATCGACTGCACTTGTTTTCCTACAAATTTGTTCAACCACTTCTTCCCGGGTTGTATGTGGGTGCTGGGCAATTGACAATACACGGGCTGCCCTGATGGAAAGGAGTCACATCTCTCATTGTGTGGGAACATACCGGGACAAAAAAATTGTGCGGGCTGAGAAACCGTTTTTCAAACAACACACAAAAAAACGTGTAATACACCCTTGGCATTTGTACATTTTGAAAAACCCATCGGCAGTTCATTAAGAAGCACATTGTGGTCTTCCTGTCTCAGATCATCATCAAATAATAATTTGAATAAATGTAACCGACTGACCAGCAGCAGTGATGCCGAGATGCACACTGTAGACGTATTTTATCCTTATTAGTTTTTTGGAGTTTTAGTTACTGTATTTTTCTTGTCTTGGGATTAATTTCCGTGAAAGGTACTGTACAAGCAGGATTTTATTATAATTAGTGGGGAAAATGGTGTTCTATTCATTCTCTTCGGTTGATGTATGTGTATGTGCTTATGCATATGTATCCAATAAAATAAAATATCCACGTATTATGCATATGCTGTATACAAAATAACGTTTTTTCTGCTGCATAGCACTACACCATAAAGTAGTTCGACAATCATGGTGCGTGGTAAAGTGTGGCCCTTAGTGTGGAAAATAAGTCACTTTGAGGGATCTTGACAGTTCTGTGCTGTGGGTTGAGTTGTGAATGGACACTTTTTCTTATGACACGAAACTGAGAGCACCATGACAATACAATTTGGATAAAATACATTTACATACACTGAGGGAATGTTTTATTTTTTCATCACGAGAAGATGGTATTGAAATTATGTAGACTCGCATTGATGTAGTTCTTGCCTTACCTTATTCTTACATATTTTATAGAATTCTAATAACTCGTTAAAACACTCGCGTCTGCTGGTCCACTCCGCTGTGAATCAGGGTGGTGTGGGAACTATGCCGCGAGGACATTCTTGCAAAAGTGAGACGAAATGGGAACAGTGAAAGTGAGGCTGTTCCTCTTTTGTCTGTCAAAATAAAAACAAGTCTGTTAACTCTGTAAATGACGAGAAAAGCCATCCTTGAAGAAAGCAGTGCAGCCATGAAAAAATATATACATACATTTTACTCTTACATTTTACTAATATCTGCAGGTTGCTTTTTAATTTGAATTTATTTGTAGTTTTCATTTATATCTTTTTTTAAATCACACTTTTTCAATCAGTTGTATTTTTACAGGTTTCATAGGTTTTTAGATTGTTAGGCAATGCAGATATATTGATTGTGAGGAAACGGTTCGTTGCCCTATCCTCTCACTTCGAATATAAAAACAAGCAAGTACCAGCCCTTCCTGGAAAGAGGGGTCATCTTTAAAAAAAAAGCTAAATGTAAATACAATCATGTGCCTGAAGGACTTGCTGAGTTACATTACCATTAACGTGCCAATGGTTGTTCAATTTAGGCGTCAGGCCTAAACAGCACATCGTTTGACATTTGTTTCCGAGCTGAACGGCGAGTTAAGAGGGCCCAGAGGGTGGCCCAGCCATGGAGTCAACAAGGGTTCAACACAGGCAGCGAGCTGGCACGGCACCGAGAGGTACTACAATCAACAGCCCAGCACCCACCGATGCAGTCAATTGTGGTTCTGCTTTCCTATCGCACTCGCGACAGTATGTATTAGTCACCTGCTGCTCAAGTCGCCTCTGATTACAAAATCAATGGAGGACCTCGTTGCTTGCACAAACTGCAGCAATGCCCCATGGGGATCAAACAAGCCCGAGCATGCCGCGGGGGAATTGGCCAACAAGGCTACACAGCAGCTGTGGTTGTTTCCTGCCCCAGTTTTCCTAGGACCTTCCCCTTTTTGCCCTCTTGTACCGACATATCTCGGCGTCACGATTGTCCATTGTGGATCGCCATGGTACTTCCATCGATGTTGCAACACATTCCTGCGGAGGGAGCTGGTAGGAACGTTGGGTTGCTCGGTCAATGGCCAGGGTCAACGGCGGCGTGGTGTATTCCGCAAATATGCCCGACTGTGAGGGCGGGCACAAGCCGGCGTGAGTAGGTTAAACGTTGAGTTTTATAAGGGCACCACGGAGTGACCAGCCCCTCCCCACCCAGCCCTTCCCCACCCAGCCCCTCCCTGCACGACGGACGGACAGAAGAATCCCCTGTGGGCTGGTGTAACCAGAGGTTCCTACCAGAATTAACTATCTTTCAATTGAGCATCAATCTCGTAAAGATCGCCATGATTACTGTCTCCGGTCTCGCTCTCTTAAACCACATGTCACGAACGTTCACCCGGATTCAAGAACTTCAGCTTGTACGGCCATTCACTTGGAATCCGTCGTAGTCCGCCCGATATGCGTCATGATTCCGGCTTCAGCGGGCTTCATCGTTCTGCCTGTCGGCGATGCCCCAAACTCTGATCCCGTGGTGCCAACCTGTTTCACCTGCGCCCCTTGATGCCCACCCATCACAAACCTGACCCCGTGTGCTGGTGACACAACTTAAACCTCCGCGGTTAATGCACTAGTCAATGTGCGCTCCTTGAACAATAAGGCCACACTTGTTGACGACCTTATATCGATCATTCACTTGATTCCCTGTGCTTAAATGAGACGCGGCTCAATCTCATTGATTCCTCCGCACCCCTTAAAGACTCAGTCTGTCGGACTGTTTCATCTCAATCTTGATTTTAAGCTTTCGTGACTGCAGGAATCCATACTCTTTGGTTCTTTCGGTAAAGTCACGTAAGTAGAAAAGAAAAAAATAATAATATATCACGACGTTTCGATCGCAACACAAGCAGTCGTCCTCAGGCAGAAAAAAATTATCCAGCAGTTGAACTGCTGAACCAGCGCTCCTTGAACAACTGCTGAACCAGCGCTCCTTGAACAACTGCTGAATCAGCAGTTCCACTGCTGGATTATTTTTTTCCGCCTGAGGACGACCGCTTGTGTTGCGATCGAAACGTCGTGAAAAAAAATGTCGTTTTATTAAAATTTTCTACCTACAGTACGTGACTTTACCAAAAGAACCAAAGAGTATGTTTCATCTCAGTCATGCGGTGTTCAACACTGCAGGTCACGCCAACACACCGACTTACACATTCCTACTCAATCACTCACCACACCGGAGGTGGATAACACTACGCTTTCTTATTCTTAGGTTTTTTCGGTAAAGTCACGTAGGTATAAACATTAAAAAGTAAAATAAAATAAAAATCACGACGTTTCGGAGGCAACACAAGCTTCCGTCTTCAGGTGGTACCGTCACAGCCACGACAGCTGTATCAAGTAAATGAGAGATTGCAGGAGCTACCACTCCAACCATTATATAACCATTATATAAACGCAGTGGTAACTCCTGCAATCTCTCATTTACTTGATACAGCTGTCGTGGCTGTGACGGTACCACCTGAAGACGGAAGCTTGTGTTGCCTCCGAAACGTCGTGATTTTTATTTTATTTTACTTTTTAATGTTTTTACCTACGTGACTTTACCGAAAAAACCTAAGAATATGAATCCTTGCAGTCACGAAAGCTTCAAATCTAGAACTACGCTTTCTGCTTCCTCCCTCACACTCTGCTCCACTTAAGAATGATCTCCCATCGTCGTCTTTCCTAAACGCTTGTAACCTTGCTCCGTTCAATTAACGTGTCAAATTGTATCGATTACAACTTTGATCATGCTCTTAATTGTTAGCTGCTTGAGGCTTCGGGACTTTTGACCTGAAATTAGCAAGTGTCAAAAAAAAACGTAGGGGAGGTATGAATCACCAGCCCAACGGAGATTCGATGAATCTGCAGTCAAAGTCACGATTAGAATTAATGGAAGTAACTTTGATGGCTGTATGCGTGATGGTGGTGTAAACACACTTCATACAACATTTACGTACTTCATAAAACACATTCCTACACACAAGATACGATGCTTGTATCGAGGGCTTCAGAATCGATATGAATCGATGGAACACTGTTCCATGCAATGCCCCTCTCAACTTGTAAATAACTCATAATAAATAGCACTAATGTTCACTGTTATAGTTACAAGTTTTTTTTTATTCTGTGAAAATAAACATTTAAATTGTAACTTCTCCAAACTGCCAATTTAGTGTGGAGCTCCATCGGCTGCAGTAGCCGGCAGGCCTGCCTGGCACACACGAGTGATTGGTTGGTGGAGTCCTCTTCTTGGTTCTTTCGGTAAAGTCACGTAGAAGGGAAATAATAAAATAATAAAAATAAAACATAATAAATAATTCTCACGACGTTTCGGCCACAGACGATGTCTCCCCGACAGACCTGGTCTTCACCTGAGGACGGCTGCTTGCGTTGTGGCCGAAACGTCGTGAGAATTATTTTATTATGTTTTATTTTTATTGTTTTATTATTTCCCTTCTACGTGACTTTAACGAAAGAACCAAGAAGCTGAATCCCTGCAGTCACGAAAGCTTTAAATCGAAATGGTGGAGTCCTGTATAGCATGACAATGTTTAAAGCTCATGGAGGCACGGCACAGCCAATGTCAAACACTCGCAAAAAAAGAATGAGAACCGGTGGCATCTGCGTTTGTCTATTGTGCATTCTGCTGAAGCCCCGTGTATGAAGAAAGACCGTGACGCCATTCACTAATAATAATTGTACTCATTTTTTGGCACCGACAATTTTAACTTTGCTACAGTGTAAGAATTAAGCAGAGGAGTGGACTCTTCAGCTTGGGAGGGAGGCGCTTAACCCCCTCCATTATGTATGTACAGCAAGTGGTGTCACAATCTGCCCTGAGCCTCCACTAGGTCAGCTCAACCTTCAATGATTTCCGGTTGTGGGGAGATAAGAGACAGCCGTGGATGGTGCAGGCCACCTCCACCCCCACATGCGCTGTGCTGGCCTCAATCGGTGGCGACTATTTTGTGTACGGTGTGTATGTAAATATGTTGAACTGATTTCGCACCGTACACAACCACCGGGCTAATCGAAGGTGTGAATCTCCAATGCTGCAGTGCTAACTGCAGTGGTATGGTATGGCCAGGTCCATGCCTGTCCACCTTTGTCTCCGCAATACCACTCGCCACTGATGTTCTACGTACATGGATGGCAATCGAACCCAGATAACAAAGTTCTTAGCACTGCGTGTTAACCACTGAACCACCGCTCCCGACAAAACACACAGCCACACAATCCCCATTGCTGTAAGCAAGCATTAGGACCCTGCACTACACACAAAGGGGGTACAGTAATGTTAGCACTACGCCCAAATTCTTCTTTACAATGTTGTAACTGACACGCCGTACTATGTACTCCTAACAAACCGAACAGAGATACTGACCAGGTTCAATGGCACGAATTACTTGTTGTTGCGTGTGTCCACAAATTAAACCTGGGTCGTTGGAATTAATACCAGTATCACTCCATCCCTTCCCACCCCACCCATTCAATCCGCACTACCAGCAAATTGATGTTATAATCAGAAAACTCCCATGACGGACACGATTGTGGAGGATTTCATCCAGCAGTGGATTGGCAAAGGGTTGTTGAAAATTAGTATGATCCTCATTCGTCTGCGGTACGGTGTCGGCGTGGATGAGAATGGTGACCGCATTAGAAGCTGCAGTCATGGTTCGTGAAAAAAATACACGTGGCATTCATGCCAGGTTAGGTTCAAAGCTCACCTTATGTAATAAATAACTACAACCAACCCTGCCGACTGTACGACCTGGGTGACGAGCACACAGCAAGTTAAAGTTCACTTCGCGGTGTATTACAAATATCGACACTTTTTCAACAGTTGACTGCCATTAATAGCTACAGCCTAATGCTGTTAGTTTATTGGTGAATGTGTATTTGGTGGAATTTGCCTGCATAGTTGTCGGTCAAGAGGGCCTTCTCGGTGAATACAGTCATGAAGAAAGTGTTGGTTGCGGCTGCTGTGACCTTGATCACTTTGTCGGTAAGTGGCGTTTGTGTGTGGCAGAGGCTAGAGTCTAGCTCCTCGTAAGTACGGACGGAGAGTGCCATTTAGCAAAGGAATATATTATACTGTACTGTATAATCATCAGCATGCAATATACTACAGGGTGCTGTGTATGTTGGGGCAGTGGTTAGCGCACTGTGCTATGAACCTGAATCCGAATCCCGGCAACAGCCAACATCAGCAGCGAGTGACAAAGTGTTGGTTAATCCGTCACCATGACCAACAACCGTGTGGGAATGCATTTTAATCTCCCGACGACCTGGCAACGGGCTGTAAATGCTAAGCTATGTACGCGATGCCTGTGCCGTACGATTTTACGTGTTAAGTACACACGCATTTACACGCGTTAACACGCTGTGGCTTGGGCTGCGAGGTGGCGAGGAGGTGGCGGCATCGTAACACGTTTGAAATCTGTGTAGACTTTTATTTCTTTTTCTATCTACGTGACTTTATCGAAGAACCAAATAATGTGGAGACTTCAGGGTGTCTCCTCTTCATGTGCTCCCGTTTACTCCCACCTTGACAAACGCCCACGCAGTTTTCGCCACACTTACCAAATTGAAGGACCCTTCTGCAAAAGAAAGAGCCGTGAGAACCGGAGGCTTTCATTACTCTGATAAATACAGGGTGCTTCCAAAAAATTTTAATACTTCGAGAATTTTCACCAATGCCACAAGAAATGTGCCTCCGGGCTCTGGAGACCACCTGGAGAAGATTCCAGGCACGCGTTGACAATATTGGCGAACAAGTGGAGACTATTTAACTGTTTTTCAGCGATTACCATGTTACAGTGTATTATCCATTCTTTTTCCATTAAAAACGATAGTCCAATATGCGTGTTAACATTTTTTTAAAGCACCCTGTACATTATAGTACATTGTAGGGCATTGTGTGAAAAGTTCAGATATTTGAACAACTTTATAAAATGTAAGTTAAGCCATCCACACACAGGTTACTCGGTACTTATAAAGCACATACTGGTTTACAGTTTATGAGATGCTTCACCGTAGTCTACAAATACAGGGACTCCTCTACTTACATACATTAGACTTACAAACTTTCAGAGATACGAACAAACCTGTCCATATGTCCAGTTGCCTGTGTAGGGGTTATTACGGGAGAAACGGCGGACAACAAACACAGGGCTGTCGGCACTCACATACACGGGGGGTCACACCGACGTCCGCATCAGTTATTGCCCACGCCCCCAGCCCTCGGAGGCGATCCCTATAAAAGGTGGAACCCAAAGAGCTCGAGGCAGTTCGACACGAAGCTGACCAGTGAAGATCCAAGACTCGGAGATTAGGCCCTGGGACTCCCCGGTCTCGCCGTCCTTATAAGGGCCGAGCCGGGTAAGCCAGTGGCGCGGCCCAAGAGCTTCCAGACCGCTGCCCTTATCAGGGCAAGGCTGGTTAGCTGGTGCCGAGATCTGTGCTTGCCAGGGCCAGATCAGTCAGCCTCCCGTAGCCCAGTAGAGGAGGACTGGGGGACAGGACAGAGGGCTTATTACTAGGGTGGGTTTCCCATAGTACGGGTGAAGGGGCCGATACCCCTTCAACTATTGTATCTGTCCTGGAGTTAATAAACAGTGTGTCTCAACTTCCTCATCGTCTCCTCATCAACTTATTACATCTGGTGTTGGAAGTGGTCCAAGCATGGATACGAGACGGAAGACTCGTGCCCAAGACCCAGGAGAGGATGACGACGAGGGAGGGGCAGTGCAAGACATCGCCGCCGACGTACCTGCACAACTGCTGCCGGCTCCGACATCGGCGGGGTCGTCGGAGAGGGCCGGGACGTCGACTGACGAGTTGGCGTTGGCTCACTCGCGGCTGGCGGAGCTCTTGTATGCAGCGGCCGCTATGCTGGAACAAATAACTCGCCTGGGGCCGGGAGGAGCGACGCGGCGGGAAGATGGACAACGCCCGCCAGAAACTCCCGCCTTTACAACAGCGGGGCGACTCGAAAATCCCGCCACGAAGACAGTAGGGGCGGAGGGAGGAGTCCCAGCTCGTCACGCGGGAGACGGTGCCCAGCCAGCAGCCGCCACGTCATCGGCGGAGGCGGGTCGCGGTGGCGGCCTATCAGGGGTTGAAACGTCACCACCAGCTGACGCCAGCACCGACCATACAGTACGGGGACGCGCTACGGATGCTGCAAGAGACGCTGCAAGAGGATCGGAGACGGAGCCGACATTCCAGCAACGCCTGCCGGCCCTGCAGGTATTTGTTGCAAGCGACGGCGATTGGGGGGGGTTCCAGCGCCGGTTCTTGGCCCACCAAGAGATGGCAGGCTGGTCGGACAACGAGGCGCTGTGTGCTCTCCCGGCGTTATTGGACGGCGACGCCCTGGGCACCCTCACTGCTGCACCCAAGTCGGCACGCTCCACCATTCAGTCGGCGCTGCAGCTGCTGGCCACCGTTTATGGGCCGCCCTCCGATTGTCGCCAGCTCTTCTATGAACGGCAGAAGGGTGATAAGGAATCGCCACTCGCTTATCGCACGGCCCTGCTGTCATTGGCGAAAGACGCTTTCCCGCGTATGGATGAAGAGGGGATCGATGCGATGGTGGCCGAGAAAATTTTGCTGCTGGCTGACGATCTGGACTTCACCATCTTAGCGCAGGACGATGCGGATATGTCATCACTGCGGGCTGCAAGGCACATTCACGCCAATCTCATCTCCCAGCGGAGGAAGGCGAACAAAGCTGCTGCACGACACACCGTGGCGGCAACCTCTTCTGGAATGGAGGGAGCCTTCGCTGCGGATCGTTCTGCAGGATGGCGATCTGCCGAGCGACCGGCTCGGGACGTTCCAAGCCACCGAGACCAGCCCAAGTCCTCTGGAACGCTCGTCGTCTGCTATAATTGTGGCCTCCGGGGCCACGTGGCGTCCGGATGCCGGGCTCCTCGACAGCGCGGTGCGAGACCTGGAGCTGCGGACGGCCCTCCTCACAAGCCTTCGCAACATCCTCGGGCAAGTCATGGCACCCCACATGTTCGGCCTGCACACACACCCACTTTCCTATCACATGGTCCGATACACAATTCTCGGGGGTTGGGTGCTGGTGCGTCGGGTCGCGGCATGTCGGGGAGGGCGCTCCAACCGGGCCAATGGTCCGAGTTGGCTCACCGAGTTGTGGCTGCATCAGCGGGGTCGTCCGTTGTCGCGGGGCATATTGACGGGGTGGAGGTACGGCTATTGGTCGATACGGGAGCTTCGGCAACTATCATTTCAGATTTGATTTATAATATCCTGCCCGTTCAGAGTCGCCCGTTGCTCCCTGTCGATATACCGTTTTACGCTGCGAATGGGGGATCGTTGGGTATTATCGGTCAAATTCGAGCGCAAATTTCGATAGGGGACATTAAACTATCTGGCCCGGTGTTCGTCTCCTCCTCGCTGGCTATTCCGTGCCTGTTGGGGACAGACTTTTTGGCCAAATTGCCCATCAAAATTCTGATTGACCAGCAATGCATCGAGCTTCCATCGGGCCGACGTATGACGTTCCTACCTGCCACCCCTGCCTTGCGTGTTGCCTGTGCTACGGTACAGGCGCTTGTTGCTCGGACGGTGCGTGTACCCCCGGGGGCACAGATGTTGGTACCCCTGCGCTTGCGTCGACCGTTCGATAAAGGTGTCTCTGACCGGGGCGTTATTTTGGGACCATCTAGAGCCGGGGTGAGTGGGCCAGATCTGGTGACGGCCCAGACTATTGTTAAAGGGGATGGGGACCCGTTTATCGCGGTCCTCAATGTCGGGACACGGACGGCAGTGGTTTCGCAAGGTACCGTATTCGCACATGCGGTTCCGGTACCTGCGGAAACGCCGATCATTGGCCAGGTGGCCACCGATTCTCAAACGCGATTAGCCTCAGACGCTGACGAGGTTTGGCTGGATGCGTTGTGTGCTGAGTCACCTGACCTGTCTGACGCACAACGTGCTAGATTACGCGCCTTATTGCGAGAATTTTCCGACGTCTTCAGTAAACACAAATACGATATCGGATGTACCAAATTGCTACGCCACCATATTGACACCGGTGACAACGCTCCTATCCGCCAAAATCCTTTTCGGTTAAGTCCCGCCGAAAAGGATCATGTCAAATCGGCTGTAGATGACATGTTGAAATCGGACATCATTTCTCCCTCGACCAGCCCTTGGGGTGCACCCATAGTGTTGGTCAAAAAGCACGACGGGTCCCTAAGGTTCTGCGTTGATTTCCGGCGATTAAATAAGATCTCGGTGGCCGATGCTTATCCGCTTCCTCGAATGGACGAATCGCTGGATGCCCTCGCGGGATCGCGATTCTTTTCCACTTTGGATTTGCTCTCAGGATTTTGGCAACTTCCCTTGGACGACGAATCTAGGCCCAAAACAGCTTTCCGAACGCCGCACGGCCTCTTCCAATTCAATCGCTTACCCATGGGATTACACTCTGCTCCCGCGACGTTCCAGCGCCTGATGGAATTGGTCCTCGCTGGCTTGCAATGGGAGGTGTGTTTGATTTACCTGGATGACGTTATCGTATTCAGTAAGACGTTCGAGGAACACCTTGATAGGCTTCGGGCCGTCTTTCTCAAAATGCGCGCTGCTAATTTGAAATTCAAGCCACAAAAGTGCCATTTGCTGCGCGAATCTGTTAAATATTTGGGTCACATCGTCGGCCGGTCAGGTATCTCAACCGATCCCGCCAAAACGCGTTGTGTCAGCTCCTGGCCTATTCCCACCTCGGTGGGGGAGGTTAGAAGCTTCATCGGCTTTGCTTCATATTACCGCCGGTTTGTTGCGGACTTTGCTTCCATCGCTAAGCCACTACATGCCTTGACGTCAAAAGGGGTCAAATTTCATTGGGGGCCGGTGGAGAACGCCGCTTTTGTCTCTCTTCGGGATGCCCTGGTGGGGGCCCCGCCGTTAAGCTACCCCGATTTTTCCATGCCGTTCGTGCTCGACACGGACGCAAGCAATACCGGGATTGGAGGCGTGCTGTCACAAATTGTGGGTGGCGTGGAGCGCGTTGTGGCTTATGGTAGTAGAGTACTGTCCCCGGCCGAGCAGCGGTACTGCGTCACCCGCCGCGAACTGTTGGCTATCGTGTTCTTTATCCAACAGTACCGGCCATATCTGTACGGCCGGCATTTCACCGTCCGTACAGATCATGCAGCGTTGCAGTATGCCCTACGAATTAACCAGCCATCGGGGCAGTTGTCCCGATGGCTCGAGATCATGCAGGATTTCGATTTTGAGACAACTTACCGGAAGGGGATTCGCCACACCAACGCCGATGCCCTATCACGCCTGCCGATCGCCCCAGATTGCACTTGTTTCTTGGGTTCGGGCCGTTGCAAATCGGCAAGTGACGGCCGGGATCGGGTTCTTGCGGCTGCAGTTGATACTCCTTCGGACGCTGGTCCTATTTCGGAGGGTGGGAGTGATTCCCTACTTGGCTTGTCAAGTACTGAGTGGGGTCGCCTCCAAATGGAGGATGCGACCCTCCTGGCGCTACGACGTCGCACGGAAGGATCAGGTCAAGGGAAGTCGGGCGTTGACTCATGGGGGTGGTGCCAGGGCTTACTCATGCATTGGGACGGGACGATCCGCCGTCACAGGCTGGTGGTGCCTTCCACGTTGAGGGGTAGGGCTGTATGGGCTGCTCATGAACGGCTCCTGCACCTGGGTACCCTCAAAACACTTGCCATGCTCCAGCTTAATTACTTTTGGCCGGGCATGGCAAGAGACGTGGACGATCTGCTGCGGTCCTGTACCCAGTGTGCACAACGGAAGCCGCCGGCGAAGGGAGCCAGTCCACCGCTCCAGTCCATTTCGGTCACCCGGGTTAACGAGCTGGTCGCCCTTGATATTTTGGGACCGTTTCCTTCCACCCCGAGGGGTAATAAGTACCTGCTGGTTGGCGTGGAATATTTCACGCGATGGCCTATGGCTTGGCCCCTCGCCAACCAGTCCGCAGCGGCCGTTGCGGAGGCTTTTGTTCAGGGCTACGTCCTCGACAAAGGCGCTCCGGAACGGTTGTTGACCGATCAGGGAAAGAATTTCACTAGTACCCTTTTACACGAGGTATGTGGCCTTCTGGGTACAAAGAAAGTTCGTACCTCACCTTACCATCCACAAACGGATGGGATGGTGGAACGCTTGCATAGGACTCTTACGTCCATGCTATCCCACCAGGTATCTGAGTCCCAAAACGATTGGGATCTACGGATCGGGGGAGTCCTGGCGGCATACAGGATGGCTCCTCACGCGGCGACCGGGTTCTCGCCATTTTTTTTTTATGTATGGTCGCGAGGTTGACCCGCCTGTCGCGACTCAGCTGACGATTGCCGCGCCTCATGCTAAGTCGAAAATCGCCGACCATGTTAAATTTAACATCCTTCGCTTGGCGGAGGCACGGCAGGCGGCCATGCAAAACTCTGACTCTCGCCAGAAACAAAACGAGAGATTGCGGTCGCGCCGGACTCACACGCACGAATGGCACCCGGGCGACCGAGCATGGTTGCACTGCCCTCAGGTGCCATTGGCCACCTCGGCTAAGTTGTTGCGACCATGGAGGGGCCCCGTTGAAATTGTGCAGGTTGTGCGGCCTCAATGTGTGCGCATTAAGTGGGGGAAGCGTCGGTGGTTTGTGCACCCTTCACGGTTAAAGCCATTTTTTGCTCCGCACGCTTCCTCCCACGTAAATGGCCGAACATGTGGGGAGTCCTCTGACTCCGGGGGGGCGGGATCGATGCCAGCCTCTGATCCACTAATGACTGTCCCGTCTTCAGGAGCCCCAGGACTGAAGCCCTCTGGGCTGCCAGCCTCCCCCGTGGGGGGCGGCGCTGGCACGTCCGGGAAACCGGACGACCAGGCACCTGCTGATGCGACACCTGCCACTGACTCTACCAAGCCGGCCCCTTGTGACGGGCCCGCTGCACGGACTCGCGCCAAAACGCGCCGGTTGTTATGATTAGCTTTCCGCGCGTGTTCCGTTGCTGCGGAACCCGCTCATTGTATATATGTTTTTTTAATGGTTGTATGTGTGTGTAATAACGATGACCACGCTATCTGCTTGTTGCTTGCTGTCCATGTAAGTGTGTGCGTGTGTTGGGAATGGACGGAGAGTCTGCTGTGGTTGCTGAGTTTCAAAGGGAGTGTGTGCGCTGCTGCGTGGAGTTGTTATCTTGATGGTAAAGTTAATTATTAACGTGGGAGCGTCGGGTATCCTGTGCTGTACCATCTCGTGGGTCACCGTGCGCGATGGGCTTAATTGAAAAAAAAAAATTTTGGGCTGTATTATGCTGCGAGGTGCTGTGTGCGATGCGGTCGTTGCATGAGAGGGAATAACTGTGTTGTGGTTGAAAAGTTACGACGGGATTGATGGTGTGTTGGTCGCCTGCAGATTTGCTTGCTATTGTGCTTCAATGTACGCGTGTGATCGCGATATGCTGATTGCATGTGCTGTTATACCGTTCTGTATATGTGTTGCGGTTCCGGGTGGGGGGTTTTTTTTTTTTTTAGGGAACCATCGGTTGATGTTACGCTTGTTCTTGTTATTGTTACTGTTACGAGGCACACGTGTATTGACGGTGTTAATCTTTATTCTTGGGGGTTGAGGGATTGTTGCAGCCGGAACGGCTGCGAGCTGTACAGGGGGGGGTGATGTAGGGGTTATTACGGGAGAAACGGCGGACAACAAACACAGGGCTGTCGGCACTCACATACACGGGGGGTCACACCGACGTCCGCATCAGTTATTGCCCACGCCCCCAGCCCTCGGAGGCGATCCCTATAAAAGGTGGAACCCAAAGAGCTCGAGGCAGTTCGACACGAAGCTGACCAGTGAAGATCCAAGACTCGGAGATTAGGCCCTGGGACTCCCCGGTCTCGCCGTCCTTATAAGGGCCGAGCCGGGTAAGCCAGTGGCGCGGCCCAAGAGCTTCCAGACCGCTGCCCTTATCAGGGCAAGGCTGGTTAGCTGGTGCCGAGATCTGTGCTTGCCAGGGCCAGATCAGTCAGCCTCCCGTAGCCCAGTAGAGGAGGACTGGGGGACAGGACAGAGGGCTTAGTACTAGGGTGGGTTTCCCATAGTACGGGTGAAGGGGCCGATACCCCTTCAACTATTGTATCTGTCCCGGAGTTAATAAACAGTGTGTCTCAACTTCCTCATCGTCTCCTCATCAACTTATTACACCTGTTCAGACCGAGAGTTGTAAGTTCAACCGTCATAATAGATGGCGGTGGTGGCATCTACATCTACTGAACGTGAAGAACCAGTGACATCTACATCTGCAAAACGTGAAGAACCAGTGGCATCTACATCTACTGAACGTGAAGAACCAGTGGCATCTACATCTGCAAAACGTGAAGAACCAGTGGCATCTACATCTGCAGAACGTGACGAACCAGTGGAAATTACATCTACAGGAGATTATACAACTTTTAAAGCCATTCCACGTGTTGAGCTTGTTTGGAATCGACAGAAGTAAATTTATTGGACTTACGAACAAATCAACTTCCGAACAGGCCTATGGAACCTAACTCGTTCATAAGTATGCGAATATACGCGAGATTAAGAGTACGTGACTGTATGGGAAGAGGTCAGATTTGTAAAGCATCAAGAAATAAGTATAACCCGTAAAAACAAAGTTTTTCACAATAAATCCTTTATATGCGTGGCGGCTAGAGTCCTCTCGTCCTCTGGCTTGAGATGGCTGCCACCTATGGGTCAGATGATTGTCTGCAGTATTAAACAATTGGTAATTAAATATTTAATTTGTTTTCCCTAAACAGTGTAAAATTTTGGAGAAAAAAATTTCACGAACATTAATTGTCTCGCACAACGAGTCTGTGTGCAAAATGTCAGCTCGATTGGATCACGGGAAGTTGGTTAAAAAACGACCGAAAGGTTTGCACGGTCGTAAGCAAGTAAGCAAGCACGCAAGCGAACTTAATATAAAGGATTTAAAAATGAGTCACCATACGATCACCCACCCCATGTTTCTCTCGCTCTGTATTTCTATGTCTATCTGTGTATGTCTCAATGTCAGCTTTCGTATTTATGTGTCACTATGTCTCCGTGTATATTTCTGTCTCTCTGCGTACTGGTATATTTCTCTCTCTGTGTTTTTCTGTCTTTCACTGTCTCCATGTCTCTGCGTGTCTTGCTGATTCCCTCTCTGTTTCTCTGTCTCTCACTTTGTCTCCCTGTGTCAAGTGCTGTGCTTGTATGAATGCCACTGTCGTTGCTTCCTCCTTTCTCCTTCCGTGGGATCTACTTTACAAGGTGAAATGCTCACGGTAATGGACCGATAATGATGAAATGATGACAACATTGCTGCTGCTGTTGTTAGTGTTGCGTGATCTCCCACTGAGTGGTCCTGCAACTCTTCCGATGTTTGTGGTCCCCAGACTATCGCTGCTGCCCGGCTACAGAGACGTGGCCTTCACACGTCACATGCAATCGAATGTATTTTCTCAGAGCTGAAATCGAGCCAAAATAAGTGATTAACACAAAACACTTGAAAACCCAGCTTTTTATGGTTGGCTGAAACTTGGGCTTCAAACCCAGGATTTAAGACATTTAAATAGAAATTTCTCAGCGCAGGGATGTTAGATGATTCAAACTGCATCTGTCGTATGTTAAACTAAGTTGCCTCATGTCCTAGCCCAGGTGGAAGGCGACCTGCTGTTCCGGAGCCACATGCGGCTCTTTAACGATTGCTCCGTGACGTTATTCACGTGTCCTGCGGCTCTTAAAATACTGATTCGGAAAAAGTCTCTTATTGTTTTGGTTGCCGACCCCTGTCCTATCTCCTCAGCTCTACAACCTCCACATAGAACTGCTAGTTTGTTTTCTTCCTGCTGAACATACGTGGCTTTTACCTTATTTCAACCCTTAACGTTTATTTTACACGATTGTCATTTTCAAGTTTTTGTTGTTTTAAGGTGACGTGGCAGGCTGCAGCTTGTCCTCCGACACAGTACAGCACGGGCACGGGCTCCTGCTGCCAGCTGTGCAGTGCAGGTACCGTTCATGCGCGCTCTGCTCATGTGGAAACACGACATCATTTACCGCTGCTGCAACACCAGTCATTGTCAATACCCTCCCCCCCCCCACAATCTTTAGGCCAGTTACCCCCACCGCCCCGCCCCACAAACGTTTCAAGACTCTAGCTCAGGGGTCCTCAAACTACGGCCCGCGGGCCACATGCGGCCCGCCGAGGACATTTATCCGGCCCGCCGGGTGTTTTTGCCGCCGCTGCCTGTCTGTTACTTTTTTCTGCATGAGAAGGACGGTCATTGGTGGAAGAGGGAGAGGGGGCGGAGTTCCCCCCAATCAGACTGCATTGATGGGCAGTGCAGTCTGTATGTCTCTGTGTGGGCAAAGTTATTGCTGGTATATTGTTTTTGTAGCGCTGTATATATATTGGTATTTTACTAATATCAATTTTGACTCCCTAGGAAACAATGATGTCAAGAAAGAGAAAAATTTACTCGGAGTGTAGGATAGTCAAAGAACAGTGGACTTATGATTACTTTTTCATGCAGTACAAGGAAAGAGCTGTGTGTCTGATATGCCAGAATATAGTGTATGTGTTCAAAGAATAAATTTACGTCGACACTATGAAACTCAACATAAAGATAAATATGATTGTTTGGTCGGAGAAGTGAGAAAAGATAAAATATTAAAACTGAAAAATACATTAACAACTCAGCAAATACTTTTGTGAAGCAGAAGCAGCTAAATATTTCATCACTGCGAGCAAGTTTTCAAGTTGCCAAGCTAATAGCGTGCACTGGCAGACCATTCGTGGAGGGAGAATTTGTTAAAGAATTCCTTCTTTCTGTTGCCAAAGAGATGTGTCCAGAGAAGGCCGATTTATTTAGTACAGTGAGTCTTTCAGGACCTACAATTACACGGAGGATTGAAGAAATGGGAGACAATTTGCATCAGCATTTGCAAAACTCCACAAAAAAACTTTCCTATTTTTCCTTGGCACTCGACGAAAGCAATGATGTTCGTGATTCTGCACAACTTCAAATTTTTATTCGTGGGACGAATGACTATTTCGAAGTCACAGAAGAGCTTGCTGCACTGCAAAGTATCAAAGGAACAACTACAGGAGAGGATATCTATGAAAAGGTTTGCCAAACTGTGAATGGTTTGGAGCTGAACTGGGCTAAACTAGCCAGTGTGACAACTGATGGTGCTCCTAGCATGGTGGGGTCTAAGAAAGGAGTAATTGCTCGCATTAACCAAGAGATGGACAAACATAACCATTCTCATCCAATAGCCATACACTGCCTCATCCACCAACAAGCGCTGTGTAGTAAATCACTGAAGTGGGACTCTGTTATGAAAATTGTGGTATCTTGTGTTAACTTCATTAGAGCTCATGCACTAAACCACAGACAATTTCAGGAATTTCTGTCTGAGCTAAATGTTGACTATGAAGATGTTCTGTACCACACAGAAGTCCGTTGGCTGAGTCGAGGGAGAGTTTTGAAACGTTTCAATGACTTACTTCCACAGATTACAGCTTTTCTGCTTTCAAAAAACAAAGAAGTACCAGAGCTCAATGATGCAGAATGGAAATGGCACCTTGCCTTTCTGGCAGATGTAACAGAGCTACTCAACAGTTTCAATGTGCAACTTCAAGGAAAGGGGAAGCTCATCTGTGATATGCAATCACATGTCAAAGCATTTGAAGTAAAATAAGGCCTCCTCATCAAACAAGTGAAGGAGGAAAACTTCTGCCATCTCCCCACAACTCAAAATCTGTTAGCAGAAAAACCATTGGTTGCATTCCCAAACAAAACATGTGTGGATTCATTGGAAAAATTGCAAAAGGAGTTCCAATTTCGATTTAAAGAGCTTCATCTCCATGAACAGGACATACAGCTTTTCCGTAACCCATTTTCTATTGACATTGAAAATGTGAATACAATTTACCAAATGGAACTGGCTGAACTGCAGAATTGTGACTCTCTGAAAGACGCATTCAAGTCAAGCAGCCTTCATAATGTCTATGCATCTCTCCCCTCTGAGACATATCCTCATCTCAGGAACCATGCACTCAAAATGGCAACCATCTTTGGCAGCACTTATGTCTGTGAACAGACTTGTACCAGAATGAAACATTTGAAATCTCCAACCAGATCTAGACTAACGGATGCACACTTGCATCACTTGTTACGACTTGCAGTGACAAATATGGAACCGGACATTGACCATCTCATTAGCCAAAAGCAGGCCCATAGTTCCCATTGAAATACTGGCAAGTTTGTTGATTTAACTTTACTTGTTCTTCATTTTAAATATTGTATTTGTTCCCGTTTTGTTTCTTCACTTCAAAATAAGATATATGCAGTGTGCATAGGAATTTGTTCATAGTTTTTTTTAACTATAGTCCGGCCCTCCAACGGTCTGAGGGACAGTGAACTGGCCCCCTGTTTAAAAAGTTTGAGGACCCCTGCTCTAGCTCCTCTATGTAGCGTATCTGAGCTGAACGGCGAGTTAAGTGGGCCCCCAGAGGTTGGCCCAGCCACGAGCAGAGGTCGCAAACGGGTTTTGATTCCTTTTCCCGTACCCGTACCCAGCCGCACCACGGTCGCAAATGGGTACCTGTACCCGGCCGGGTACAGGTATCCGTTCCCTACCCGTACCCGTACCCTACCCAAAATGAGTGACCAACGGTTACTCACCAGTGACTCACGGCCTACCCGTACCCGTACCCGGCCGGGTACGGGTAGCCGGGTATCGGGTAGGGTGCGGGTATCAGGTACCCGGTTGCGACCTCTGGCCACGAGTCAGCAAGGTTCAACGCAGGCGGCGAGCTTGCACGGCCCCGAGTGGGTTTCGCAACAGTCCAGCACTCGGCGATGCATTCCAAACGCGGTTTCGCTCTCCTATTGCACTCGACAGTTATTTATTAGTCGCCCGCTGCTCAAGTCGCCTCGAATTACAAAATTCCAACGTTTTGGGACTCGATCTCCTCTGATAGCGTATGCAACGTGAAAGCAAAAAAAGGGGGATAGTACAAGAAATGCAGTACAAAATATGCAACAGTGCACACAGTGCAAAGAGACGAGCACATTTGCCACTGCCGCTACTGTATGTCGAACTTCTTTCGCACCGTACGTAGCCGAGCATTGTAATCGTAGGTGCGGGGAAAGGACAACAAACTAAACACAAAAAGCAGGTCAAAATAAATGAGTTTGAAATCTAAATTTGAAAGTGCATAGCTCCAGTGGCTTCCTAATATCGAAAAGAAGAGCGTTCCAGACTCCTCATAAGCGCATCTGAAAGCGCGCGATGTAGTGACCGTCTTTGTTCGATGGATAGCGTATTACTGTTATTAATATTACTGCTATTACAACTCTTAATGCTCCTACAAAGGCCGCCGATACTATTACTGCTACAGCTAGGAGATATATCTATTTTTTATCAATGGCATTTTATTTCAATATTCGCTTGTCTGGATGAACTGTTCTATGCTAGAACTTTAAATGTAAACAGAAAACTGACAAAGAAATCATTGACCTCTCTGCTACCTATGGCACTGTTTGGCATCATCATGGCCTGTTGATGAATTTGGCCAAAACCATCAAATGCCGTTCCACTGTTCACCGAATCGACGTGATGCTCAGTAACCTTACGTTCAAGGGACATTTCGTTGGTAAACACAAGAACGTGAGGACTATGAACAATAGACTCCGGAAGGCTACGTCCCAGCACCGTCACGATGTAACACATACAAGTGGTCTGCCGTGGAGGTCGTCTCGCAAGTCAAGAATAAACGCCTCATTCAAGACCCAAACGTCGCACCTCTCGGCTTTGACATTCCTCGAAGACTCTGGTGTAACCATCGACCTCATCAGAACATCAACAGGCCGATGCACGCAACTCCTTCATTAATTCAAGACAAGCCACAGTTCCTATGATCACTGTTTCGTTGCTTTTATGGCTTTATTTTGGTGAGTTCGAAAACTTTTTTGGTTTGGCCATGTTTGTTTGTTGTAGTACGGAGTTAGAATGATGACCTTAATCTAAGTTGTCTTGTGGTTGTTGTTGTTTGACTTGCATCCCACTGGGATTTTTGCACACAGCGTTGGTGTACGGTGCTTTTTCTGCAATATTTTGCTGTCTTTTCTTGGATTTTCTGTTTGCACATAGTCACATAGTCACTTTAAGATGTTTTCTTGTTCAGTTTTTGTTTTTTGTTTGTTGCGGTTGCACCCGATTCAAGAGCCGAATGGCACACAGGGCTATACCGAATAAATGAACTTGAACTTGATGTGAAGGTGGCCACGGAACCCAAACTATGGATCATATAATGAACCACTGCACGCACAATCCGACGTTTGTTGTCCTTCCCCCCGCACCTCCGATTAGCAGTTCGCTATGTGCGATGCGAAAGAAGTTCACCATACACATATACGTATCAAAAGCTTAAATATGGATACAATGTTAATTGATGAATCGATGCCTTGATTCAACCTGAAATACACAGTCATTGTTGGAGTGTTAATTGCAGTTCTGCTGTGACGCAACTGCGTCAGCAGTTCTTCTGATGTGTTTGTCTCACCTGATGACGGTTGCTTGTGTCGCGATCGAAACGTCGTGATCTATTAATTTTCTATCTACGTGACTTTACCGAAAGAACCAAAGAGTATGGATCCCTGCAGTCACGGAAGCTTCAAATCAAGATATTAATCGCTTGTTCGTATTTGTCATGTGGGGCAGGAACATTCAAGGCTGCCGACTGCACGGTTGACGGTGGAGCTCCCGTCTGCTCGTCATGTGAAGAGAACTTCTACACTGACATGGACAATCACGACGAGACGTGCAGCATCTGCAGTCTCTGCCGCACAAGTACTCGGACGCACTTGTACATTGAGTTCCCCGTGTCCTACAATCAATGGGTGCTCGCTCCTTTCCCACTCGCCATCGTGCCACGGTGATGAGATGTTAACTACCTCTCCCGGTATACAGGAGGTCGTAGGTTGGATCCCGACCCTGACGCCTGTATATTTCGAGCTTGCATGTCTCTCTCTCCCCGTAGTCGCGTGGATTTTTCTCTGGGTTCTCTGGTTGGTTTCTTCCCCTCTATATTTGGAAACATCCGTGTAGAGTATGTTTGGCTGCTATATATTTAGACGTGATAAGCGACTTCATTGGGCTATTAGTTGTGACCAGGTCGCTTCTAAAAAAGAGCTATATACCTTGGTGGGCTTACCTGGTAAAATCAAAAGATTAGTTTAAGTTTAGTTTATCTTTAATGTATAGTTGAGTTTATAGTTTAGTTTACTCATTCCCCACTGTTTGGACCTCCCTTCCCCTGGCCATCTACATCGACGACTCAATCTCTCTTCTCATATCCAGAATTGTCCTCTTCTGCTCTTCCTATGACTGACCATTTCCATCCGTCCACATATATTGATCATCGCTGTACTTGTATTTCCCAGCACCCTGCTCTACCCAACTTTCTTACTTCACCTCTGCACACAATCCTTCATCAATCCCATTGATTCTTAAACGCATTTTTTTTGGACAGGATCTTGAGTCGCATTTGCATTCTCGATAAATCCAAATCGTATCGTATTTCTATAAAACACTATGATGATAATGAAAATGATTATCACTATGATGTTAATCGATGCATAGTTACTCCCCTAGCATACGCTGAAAATAGTCAATCATTCTCAATTTATCCGTGCGTGCAGATGAGGTGGTGGAACAAGAGTGCACATCCTCGACAGACACAGTTTGCAAGTGTGCCGATGGCTATCGCGAAGTTGAGCTTGTCTGTGAGCTCGCAGGTAAGCTCAATTTTGGATAGAGTAACAATCGGCATTAAAACTCCAGGCCATCCTTACTGAGGGGTTATCGTTTGGACGTTAATTTAATCGCTTCTGAACCTTTATGAAGTGAAAAGAGGGGATCGGACTCAGATCGGATGCTGGGTGCTTTACAAAAAGAACTTTCCTTGGCCAACAGAATTGTCTCGGATTAAATAACGGTAGAGACGTGTACAAGAACCACCCAGGTGATCGCGGCCTGCTCGAACGGTGCTGCAGTGGTGCCTGGCTAACCCAGAGCCTGCTCGAACCGTGACCGGGTCTGCTGGGGCGGTGTTTTTTTTGCGATGTGATCATCAGCACGGTTGGAGTGGATGAATTCTGATGTTGGATTGGGACCGGTCGTAAAATCCTGTTGCGTCTGGTTTCACGATGAGAACCGATGGTGTTTTGGATTTCAGGTGCCCTCACACGCCTGGAAGTTGCGAAAAAGCCTGTCGTTTGCTGTCCCACCTGGTTGCTTTTTTGTTTCATTTTTTTTATTGTTTCCCCATGTCCCACGTTTCGTGGATTGTGACAGCACTGTTGTACGATGTGTACGTAAGCACTTCATAATTCACAATGCTTATCCTTCGATGTACGAGCGTAAACATCACCTGGATGCGTGGAATACAGGGACAGGAGACAGCGTTGCTTGGAGCAAAAGAAACCTGTGTCTTGTTCGGTGTTTGTGTGCACGCAGACGACGGGGATAACTACTTCATGGTGCTGGTGCTCGTGATAGTGGGCATTGCTGTGCTCGCGAGCAGTGCAGCCGCACTCTACATCTGTAGAAAGAGGAACGGGCAGTGTGTGTGCTGTAAGCGTGACCTCTTGCAACTTCAAGAACGCACCCATATAAAATACTAACATCTCTCATCCTGTAGACACGTGCCTACGATGTGGCAAGGTGGTTCATGGGTCAGAGAACTCAGCTAACCTTGCTGAGATTGTTGGTTTCAAAAAAACTATCTCAAGTTTAAGATACATTCAAATATTTTAAATTCTGGATTTTAATACAAATTTCAGCCGCCCATGGTTAAAAATGGATTCTCATGTGCATCAACTTCACTACTGATAATTCTGAGAATGAAAAATATCAGTTTGAGTGTCATGTGACCAAAATTACTCTCAGTGGCAGGGCAGGTGGAAAGGTGCGGTCCTCTATTATGTGTACCAGGTGTCACTTGCAGGGTTGAATTTGCATTTATATTGTGTTCTATCACGTGACAAAACATCTTAGAGCGTAGGATCTCAGAGGTAACTCTGCGACATCTGCTTCCGTGGGCCGTTCTCTCACAAAACCGTGACAGTTAATCATTACAAGTGTGAGCCCACGAATTGGTACAAGCCATATACGGCATACATCGGGGATATGCGTACGTTTTAACAAGCGTGCATGCGTGTGTAGGTGCATGTTGGTTCATGTGTTTGTTTCTTTAGGTAAAACACCTTCGCAACCTCCTGTAAAGAACCAAGTGGAGATTGATGATCCCGAGAGAAGAGTGTTTGTCCGAAGCTTCGACGACTCGGATTTGAACTTCACCTTGGAAGCTGACAAAGACGACGTCTCCCTCACTTTGACTGAAGACAGAGTGGTAGGCTAACTCGCATCAATAGTACCAGCACTTTACCCTTTAAACTGGTACAAAACTGACACCTTAATACAAGGCATCATGTTTGCAAAAACCGCAACACAAACAGTCAAATGCAAACAAAAAGAAACAACTCTGATAATGGTAATGATACACACTGTCCTTTAAGTTGATTGGTCCACACCCGAGACAGCTTTCCTTAGAGCCTAGTCTCCATTGGTTTTGGACCAGATGACGCCAAAAGGCGTACAACTCAAAAACAGTGCACTATTGAGAGCTCGGGGTAAGCATTTACACTATGAGACCTCCTTTACCAGTGGCAAAATATAGTAGTAGGTTTTTACCCTTTAAACTGGTACAAAACTGACACTTTTATACAAGGCATCATGTTTCCAATAACCGCAACACAAGCAGTCAACCGCAACACAAGCAGTCAAAAACTGCTTGTGTTGCGGTTATTGCAAACATGATGCCTTGTATAAAGGTGTCAGTTTTGTACCAGTTTAAAGGGTAAAAACCTACTACTATATTTTGCCACTGGTAAAGAAGGTCTCATAGAGTTACCAGCACTTGTTGACTTTGCACGAAGTGGCACTGACTATTTCAACCCCGGATGGAGGAGCATGCTGCTAAGTCTGGCCTTCAGACTTAACATCGAAGTAGCATGGTTCTGATTACTAGATGAGTGCTTTAACCACATGGCCACAGTGATTAGGGTGATAAAGATGTCATTTGTAATGATGATATAGATGACAATGGTAACGACCATGATATCTATGGTAATTAATGATATGTTTTTGATGATATTTTTAATAAACGATCTTGACATTCATACTCGTCGGTTCTTTCGATGAAGTCACGTAGTTAGAAATAAAATAAAATAAATCACGACGTTTCGGGCGCAACACAAGCGTCCATCATCAGGTGGGACAACCACAGCAAGAAACAATTGCTGAAGTGGGCGAGAGGGCTGCCGTGACAAGAGGCTATATAGGTAAGAGAGGGGGGAGGAGCAAGGGGGGAGAGAGAGGGGGGGCTGGGAGTGGGAGGCTGAGGAAGCTGGAGATATGACGGCAACAACCATATATTCATAATATAGGTTTTTGGGTCAGATCGCGTTATTTATAAATGTGTCGTAACCCTCCACCACTCGACACGGCCAAATAGTAAAAAATGTGTCACGTTTTCAAAGGACAAATTAATTAACAACCATAAAGCAGTCACATCAGCCCTCTCGCCCACTTCAGCGATTGTTTCTTGCTGTGGTTGTACCACCTGATGACGGATGCTTGTGTTGCGCCTGAAACGTCGTGATTTAATTTATTTTATTTTCTACCTACGTGACTTTACCGAAAGAATCAAAGAGTATGAATTCCTGCAGTCACGAAAGCTTCAAATCAAGATTGATCTTGACATTGATCGGTTATAATTACTGCTATGGATAATAATGACCATGGAAATGTTAAGGATGATGGTATTGTTCTACAATAATCGTATTGTTTCACCGACAGTGTCTTAATGATATTGATGACATTGACAGTGATCCTTACGACCATAATTTTATATTCACAATGACGATCGTAATAACTGTCATATATTATGAACTTGATGATTAAATTATTATCGATCCCAATGTTGACTTTGTTATTTTTAATTGAAATAATGACCATGTTATTAATAATATTTTTTACAAAGATATCGACAATTTTCTACACCTAGCGCCATTTACTCTGGGGCGTCTCAAGAGCACTTTACACGAGAGATAACATTTGAAAGGGATACTCCCCCAGTGGCAGCTGTCCCTGTGCGGCACACGTTGACTGCACCTGGCATAACTACATGTGACATTAGTCGAGCACGAGGGGGGGGGGGGGTGTTCATTGCTACGTGTAATCCAGTGATGTAATATGTGGGCAATTGAACAATACCACGCTTCACTTTGTGCACAGTCCCTGACCCCCAGCATGGGCATCTCCACGCTGCGGAGGAGCATCAGCACCCGCATCAGGGAGAAGAAGGCGGAGGAGAGCGCCATGGGCACGGTGTGGGAGGCGATGGACCGCAACATGTCCGAGCTCAGGCGGCTGATTTGCAGCGACCCCCCGTGCCTCCTCAACGAGCTGCTGAGCCGCAAGCTCATCTCGCATCAGGTGCACAGGAAGGCGGCCTCCATCAGTGACCGCACGGAGCGCTCCGAGTATCTGCTGCGGCGCTTCGTCGACGGCGGCGGGGAGGAGTGCCTGAGTTTCATGGCCGTCTTCTCGATCGCGAAGGAAAACTCGGCGCGATTCCGCGTCATGATGGCCACCTCGCGTGAGTCTCCTCCATTTATTCGTTTTTCCACGTGAAAAAAAGTGAAAGGGTTTTTGAGTTTACACAACCCATTGGCACCACAGCCTTCGAGAAGTGCATAATTTCAGCAGCACAGCTTCAATACAAGCAAACTGATGGTTATTTTCTTACAATCAATAATGAGATAAATGTGGTTCGACATCGTTGATCTCAACTAAGTGCTGCAGAAGTCATAACAGCAACTGGCAACACTGGCGGTGAAAGCCGCAACGTCAACTTCAAGTGATAACAGCAATTATCACAACAGAAGTAGCTAAATAACATCAGTCGTCTGAGTAAGCGGACCCATGTTTTTAAATTTCGATTTAAAGCTTTCGTGATGGACCCATGTCTCTTCGGTCAGGGTCAGAGGACCCACGGGCAATCTGGCGATGTCCCGAACCGCCTCCGTACAGATATCAGAAAACCTCTCCACCAGGCCCAGGAAAACGAACTTGCGTGTGCCGTGAAGTGAATACGTTGCCTCACTCGCCCGCCCAAGTGTCGTCCGTTAGAAGAGCCGTGCACAGCCAACGATTGAAGCGGCACGTGCCCACAAATGTTCTCCGATGCTCTAAGTTTGTACGATGGACGCGAAATGAATGAACAGACCCAAGGCAACTGCTGAGACTGGCTTAACACACGGGCCGCTGAGACTAACTCACTCGAGCATCTTGTTCATTGCAGGAAGGTGTTCACCTACCGTGGACGCGAATTCCGCCTCCCCGTGGCTCCGCGTGTCCCGGGACCACAAGACGGTCACCTACAGCTGGGACGCGCAGAACTTGGCAGCCCATCCTGCGCGCTTCGACGGAGTGTGCACGCAAGCGCTGTGCTCCGAGAGCTTCCCGTCGGGCCGCCACTACTGGGAGGTGGACGTCGAGTCCGCGTCGTTCTGCCGCATCGGCGTGGCCTATGTGACGATCCCGCGGCGAGGGGAGGGCCGCAACGGCCTCCTCGGCGAGAACGACGCGTCGTGGTGCGTGAGGAAGTGCAACTCCGAGTACACCGCTTTCCACGCAGGCGTGGGCTCGCCCGTGTCTGTCCAAGTTCCCATGCGGAGGGTCGTGGTTCACGTTGACTGCGAGGCGGGGATAGTGTCGTTTTTCTGTGGCGAAACGTTTGCTCTCTTGCACTCGTTTCAGCACTCCTTTACACAGCCCCTCTACCCGGGATTGTACCTGAATAAGGCCGGATCTGTGTCCATATGTGCGGTTTAACCATGGCTGTAGGTGAATGCGTACGTATGGATTGTGGAATTTGGTATGAACTTCGAGAATTTTGATCCGAGCTTTAAGAAAACAATTTTTGTGTTTCTAAGATGATTTTAATTAACGTTAACTATTATTAAAAGCAGCGGCATAGAAATGTATTATTGGAGTTTGGAGGGAAATAGGAGCACATTGAAAACAAACCTATAAGGTTCACTTCAAACGTTTACATAATTACTGATATTTGTAAGAATTTACTTTGAGTTTATAACATGGGTCCCCTTTAAAGCAGCCTCCTTCCATACCAGTACACTAACTATTAGCGGTTACACAGCTTCTGGAATCAAATCAGAAAGTATTCAGATGGAAAGTCAATCACATTTTCTTTAATATCCTCTGTGTCTTCAAAATAAGTTGCTCTCAAAGTGAGCTTTATGCGTTACATTCTTATGCATCGGCTGCTGTCACACAGCAAGAGTTTTGGATGACGATTTCCTCAGTTTAATACTACATTTTATATTCCACTACTCTGCCCATGATGATTAATTCACGTGGTGCAAAAGTCATACTCACAGGGTCTGCTTGTGTGATTGGCCCTGTTGAATCACATGACTGCAGGACCACAACATTGAGTAAAGAGTAATAATGAACAAATGTATAATTTTTATGATACCTTCAACTGCAGTAAAATCACTCCTGTAGCCTTTTAAGTGGACATAATGAAACTCCCAATTATCTGTATACATATACGTGCTTCGTTTAATCCGCATTCTCAATTTAATCCATGGAAAGCCTCATCTGCCTTTGACAATTCCCTCCTGTTCAAGATAAGAGTGACACAGTTGTGGCAGGTTAATCATATTAGCCTCACATCATGGGACCTCTTTTGCCAGTACCAAACTATGAGCATAAGTTTTCCCCTTATATCTGGCAACAAAACAGGTGTTAAGTTGTTAAAAGACCAAACTGAAATCTTTTACAAGGAATCATGTCTACATTAACACAATACTTGTGGTCAGAATGCAAACAAAAAACATACTCTGGTGTGGACCAATCAGTTTCAAGGACAATGCATATATTATCAGTGTTTTTTTCTTTGCATTTTGACCGCAAACATTGTGGTTAATACAGACATGATTCCTTGTAAACGGTTTCAGTTTGGTGTTTTAACAACTTAACACCTGTTTTGTTGCCAGATAAAAGGGGAAAACTTATTCTCATATTAGCCTTGTTTATCTGCACTTTACCGCTCGCATGAAAGAATATTTAACTGGATCCACACATGTGATTGCGTCTACTTATTGCACCCCATCATGAGATCAGATGAGTTTAACCAGAAATTTACACTCCAGTCACCCACAGATTAATTACTCATGCAAGTCGTTATCTGTGCATATTAGGAAATGTGCTTGTCAATAGTATAAATGTTAAAAAGGTAAGTTTAAAAAGTGACTGAGCAGTGCCGTACAAGAATAAATCCAATTACTCACCACTTTAGTCATTACGTTTAAATTAATTTATGAATCAATGTTCGGTTGTTTAAATATGTACTGCTCAACGTCACCTCATGGAAACACCTCACTTGTTGATTCAAATCTATTCCAATTTAAACTTAATTCAAATGTCCGCATTTCAATTAGAGGTGTGAAAATGCAACAAGTCGTCAATGAATATCAATTCTTAAGCTCACATGTGTCATAAACCCTCCTCCACCTGACACAGCCAATTAATAAAAGTATCAATTGGAATCAAACGTGCCGAATATACAATAGTCCAACAGTACTTAAGCACTCCCGGTGTGTTGGAGAATAATCTCGCAACATTGAAATGGTCGGGTCACGTTTTCGCTGGAGACTACATCCGGCATCATCACGTTGTTAACTGGACCCCAGATCTCGATCCGAGTCCTAAAGTAGATGCCGTTAGTGCATTGCCACGCTAATGCACGTGGATGTCATTTTAATAATTAGTCAATTGCTCGTCGATTGGTTATGGCTGGCATGTGAGGTTAATGTCATTCCGTGAATATATTGAGCGATTGGTTAAAATAAGACTATCCTTTATTAGGTTAAGGTGTATTGTGTTCGTAATGAAACTGGAATTTTAATGCTATTGTGATTCTAGTTAAGCATTCACGGGATTTTCTCATGAGGGTGATAGAAGAGGTTCAGTTCGGTATTTTGAATGAAGTGTTATTTTGTTATTTAATACAGCCAATTACATTTCCGTGTCATCAAGATTATTATTTATTATAATTTGTTTCCAAGCCACACTCACTTTAAAGCCATTTGCTCGGATAAATGTATTGCGTTTTTTTCTCAATCTCTATTGATTCTCTAATTAATCTTCGGCAGTAATAATTCGTTTTACTTCGGACTTTAACTTTATCGAATTAAATTGTGTTCCCTTCCTAACATGCGTATCTGCAACCGAAAATAATTGAGTGTGAGTATTTAATGTGTCTGTGTTGCTCTTTAAGTCGTGCACTAATGTTTGCGACTCGTCTGGCCAATGTAACATTTGCCGCAAGTGCACAATCTGACATGTACGGAATATCATTTATGTTATAAGGCACTGACTAAGGTGGTGACTTCTCTTTTGTTATATACAATAAAGATTTGTTTAAAACTCAAAGATATCATCGCCACCTTTTGTGCTAAATGCACCCGGACACGACGGGTCGGGGTGAGGGCCAGAAAGTGTGGGGCAGTGGCGTCGACGGGGCATGGAATTGAATCAGTTCTCATGCTCTTGACTCATGCATGAAATCACGAATCATTTGTATTCGATTAATGTTGTAATCGGTTCACATGAAACCCTGTAGCCGCTAGGAGGTGTTGCACGCACCACAGCGAGAAATACATTTCATTCATACATCTCATGGCGATCGCAGTTCATGGAACCGCTGATGGCGGGAGGCTGTTATATGTTGTTCAGTGTTGATGTCACCTGCCTCCCACACACGACACGGAACAAAACATTATCCGAACTCTTTTCCGGTTTCTTTCCTGAAAAGTTCATCGACTGTCCCAAGGAAACTTCAATGATGCAATTAGTATGACCTCATCGTAACGATGCAATTATTAATCGATTATTATCGATTCTTCTGCTCAATATATGGCTAGATTTCGATGTGTAAGAACTGATTTGTTTTCGTACATGCACGTAATCTGTTCACGTGACTCGTCCAGCTTCTCGTGGCCAGACTTCACCTGCATAAAACATATATTCCTCTTCTTGGTTCTTTCGGTAAAGTCACGTAGAAAGGAAGTAATAAAATAATAAAAATAAAACATAATAAAATAATATAATATAATAAAAAATATATATTCCTCCATTCCCATGAATTGAAACATCAATTAAAGATATTTTAACTTCAAATACCCTTTGGAGCAGGCGATGCAACCGATGTATTCTCGCGTGAATTTTTTAAATAAAATGTTAAACGAAACGAAAGATAATATATCTCCAGTTCTAATACAGTAGTACATGCACAAGATAGCATGCTCGTCAATGTTTCAGAGAGCTGTGGAAACAACCGCGCTGGCTTCATTCAATAAATAAAGATCGCGTCGTCAAAAACCTGATCGGTTGGTTTCACTCCGAGTGTGACCAGCGCCAGAACATGAGGCCTTCAGGGTCGAGGCCACGTTCTCCACAGAACCGGTATTTAAAGGTTTCCTAAATTTCGATTTAAAGCTTTCGTGACTGCAGGGATTCATCTTCTTGGTTCTTTCAGTAAAGTCACGTAGAAGGGAAATAATAAAATAATAAAAATAAAACATAATAAAATAATTCTCACGACGTTTCGGCCACAACGCAAGCAGCCGTCTTCAGGTGAAGAACAGGTCTGTCGGAAAGACAGCGTCTAAATGAGCACCACCACGCTTGGCAGCGTATATTTAAGCTGGGTTAGGGGAGGAAGGGGTGCTCATTCAGACCACGACGATAGACCACGGAGTCCATTTAATTGGCCGTTTTAATTACCTTTCGTGAGTTTGACCATAGAGGTGTATTCGTTTCAACTAAAAACAAACCGAAGGCAATACAGTATTCAATGTCATCTATATTGTGCGACCAGCCATATAAATGGTGAAGAATCCTGTAAAACCAGCGTGTTGAAGATGGGGTTGGTGGATTACGCAATGACCAGCATGTGCTTTCGGCCGCAGGGTGCCAGAAGGGAATACACATGTCGATGTTAAGGGTGCGTGGGGTAAACTCCTTTACTCCAATTTGTATACCGTAATACATATAATCTTTACTTTTCCATAAAAGCCTCACAGTCTCAAGATTTTGAGGAGGGCTCCTGCATTGGGATGTTTGACCACTTCCATTCATGTTTTGTTTGTGGAAACCAGAATACCTCGAGAGAACATCCACACATGGAGGGAATAACACTTGAAGCTCTACGGATTCATTGCTATTGCACTGCCATCTGCTGACCGCCTTGATGAATTTGCCAAATATCCATTGCAAGGCCTTCTTATGAAAATCGTAGGGCTCGCCAGACATTCCTGTATGAATAAATTATTATTAGAAACCGTTCTATCTTTGTGCTCACTTCTTTTTTAACTTCTGCCTTGTTTACTTACCATCAGCGGAAGTGAAGACATGTCAATGGATATCTTCACCGCAATGATCTCCCGCACACCTGGCAGTCAATGTGTTTCAGTCAAGCCATTGTCTAGTCAAGTGAGCCGGGTGTAGTACATCCGTTTATAGCCATATCGTCCCTGCTGTAAAGTCCACATTCCCATGGTGGAGGCCATCGAGTTCATAGTAAAACCACTTGATTTACCAGGGTTTCCAAAAGCCAATGTGTCTTCCGGCTCAAATGAGTGGGAGGCCTTGCCATTGTTTATGACCCTGAGGCAAGCGTGAACATTCCACACAGTGGCGGCTCCTGCAAAATCTCTCAGGGGGGGGCAAATGTCTGGATGATTGATAAGGATAAGGTCTACCCATGCAATGGATAAATTAACAGCTTAAGCATGTAAAGGCAACTTCACTTCTTTAATATTAATGAAAAATAAAGTGACTCTTACAATACATCTTGTTTGTTTCTATACTCACTATTAATACAATCCACTCAAGTTTCTTTTATTAAAGATTCCACTAGGTGGCGACAAATTATATTGTTGGATGAAACGTGCTTACGTATGTTGACGTAAGCACGTTAGGGCTCGCCCTCCCGGAAGCCATAGAGAATGCATTGGAGCGCCCCCCGGTCGAAAAAAAACATCTTTGAATGTAAGTCTATGGGGCCACTCGGGGCGATTCTCAGCCGGAGTGAAATCGCCCAAAAAGAGGCGGTACTCCACAGAACGTGACATGACGCTGATTGGACTATATCCAGAGGCACAGTGACGGCTAGCGTGACTCTGTGGTTGAATGACATTGGTGGTGCGTCGCCCAATCGCCCTAATGAAGAAACCGCCCCTTATTCCACATGCCAGTCTATATACACAGTCATTTATGTGTTCTGGCAATGTTACCAAAATTGTAAACCCTATAAACTAAGCTAGTTGTAATTAATTGAAGCTAGTTGTAATTGCTGGCGAAATGTCGTACTCAGTTTGTAAATGTTGTGGCTTGGCTCTCCAACACACCGGTGTGCTGTACTCGTGACGAATTGGCATGGTTCTGTTTACGTGACAACCCTTACTAGTTGGCTGTGTCGGTTGGTGGCGGGTTTTAACGACACATTTATATTCTAGATTTGAAGCTTTCGTGACTGCAAGGAATCATATTCTAAGGTTTTTTCGGTAAAGTCACGTAGGTAAAAATAAAAATTTAAAATTAATAAAAGTAAAATAAAAATAAAATTAAAATCACGTTTCGGAGGCAACACAAGCTTCCGTCTTCAGGTGGAACCGTCACAGCACGATTGCTGTATCAAGCAATTATGATTTTTATTTTATTTTTATTTTACTTTTATTAATTTAAATTTTTATTTTTTACCTACGTGACTTTACCGAAAAAACCTAAGAATAAGACACATTTATGTATTTACGCGATCTAACCCAAAAAACCTCGCTTATGGATGAAAGACCACGTGTTAAACCCTATAAACTAAACTAAAACTATCAACGTTTCATTTTAACAGGGAGGGCCATTGAGCTCGAGAGCTCTTTTTCATAAGCGAACTGGCCACAAACGATAGCCCAATGAAGTGGATTATCAAGTAGAAATTGATAGCAGCCAAATACTCTAAACGCATGTTTTTAAATGTGGAGGGAAAAAGCGAAGGACAAAGACAAATCCAAGGGACCACGGGGAGAAAATGCAAACTTCTCATTTACAGGCGTCAGGGTCGAGATCGAACCTACGACCTCCTGTGAACATCTCTCCACCACAGTCCCCTAGAAAGATAAAAGGTTGATGTCTACCCAACCAGGACTGAAATTGCAAATCTTCTTTAAATGTAAATAATTGCGTATTCTTGACTTTATTCCAACTCTACTATTGGCATCGTGTCATGAGACAAATACTCTCCTTGGAACTTTCACAAAGGGGCAAATCACTTTATGTTAGCAGCCCATGGAAGCAGATTTCACAGAACTGAGATAAAACGTAAAAAATATGAGTCCATGAAAAGCTTGCCCGGCAATCATGAAATCTTCAGACGCCTGGTCATGTTGACCGGTCAACAGGTTTGCCAAAATAAAGTTCCAAGGGATAGTGTGGTACAACAAATCCGTAAAAAGAACTGGGTCAACAACATCACTTTGTGGAATAAGTGAAACCACACAACCAGATATTGGCACCCAAGACCATGGCAACTGCAGATGTTCTCAGAAATCTATGACCTGCTGTTTATGCAGGTATACGTACTTTACTAGTTGAATAATTATATGAAGTACTAGTTTTGCTTCAGCTGATTTACATGTATATTCTTTTGTGGGTGTGGGTTGAGTTAAGTATTTATAATCTAATTGAAAAATATTTTTTACTTAATTTCAATGAAATCGCATCTTAAACAGTATACTCAGTTGCATACTCTTAAGAGTAATATTGTAAATAAAGTATTTATTTACAGTGCTTACAAAAATGTTGTTTTTTGCACAAGGACATCATATATTTGCACAAAAAAGGTTAGGGCTTCGAATATGCCATGAAATAAAATGAAATATAAAACAATATATATAAACTTCCTCAAATGTAATTTGAATTCTGATTTTAAAACTCAAACACACCCAGCATTATATATGTTGACATTCAATTTGAACATGAAGGCTACATTCAGGACGGATGTAAAATGAAAAGTTGTAAACCCCTTACAAACAGTTGTAGACATACGACAACAAATTGTTAGCTGTGCCAAAGTAGGCTTGTACATAGAAAAAACATTATTTCAAAATACACTCACTGGCATTCCTTTACTGGAAACACGACAAAACGGCACCAGAGAATGTTAGAATATGGTCTTTTTACTGGGGTTTAATGACAGTTACCATGTCCAATAACAAAAACAATAAATGCCCTTGTTAAGTCAAATATGCAACTGAAAAATAAAAAACGACAAAATGTATAAATACTGAAGTTTACACAAAAATGTGGTTTTATTTACCATTTGTGGAGT